CCTTTATGGCCCCTAATTCCTAAAATTTTTAGGCAATTACCCCCAAAATCAATCCCAGACTTCCCTTTGTGGTATGGTACCTTGCAGTATAATTTCACAGAGATCCATACACTTGAACACAAGTTATTGTCTAGAAACTAGAAAAATGCTTATTTTTGGCCCCTCTTTGGCCCCTTATTCATTAACATTTTTGGCAATTACCCCCAAACTCACTTCCAGCTTTCCCTTTGTGATATGGATTTCATAAAGATCCATACACTTACACAGAAGTTATTGTCATGAAACTAGAAAAATGCTTGTTTTTTGCCCATTTTTTGCCCCTAATTCCTAAAATTTGGAGGCAATTACCCCCAAAATCAATCCCAGCATTCCCTTTGAGATATGGAACCTTGTGGTACAATGTCAGAGAGATCCATACACTTACACACAAGTTATTGTCATGAAACTAGAAAAATGCTTGTTTTTTGCCCCTTTTTTGCCCCTAATTCCTAAAATTTGGAGGCAATTACCCCCAAAATCAATTCCCAGCATTCCCTTTGTGATATGGAACCTTGTGGTACAATGTCAATGTCAAGTTATGTCTGGAAGTTACAAAAATGCTCATTTTTGGCCCCTTTTTGGCCCCTAATTCCTTAACTGTGGGTACCATAACCCCCAAAATCAATCCCCACCTTCCTTTTATGGTATTGAACCTTATGATAAAATTTCATAGAGATCCATTCACTTAAACTAAAGTTAGAGCGCAAAAACCAATGTGTCTTCGGACGACGATGACGACGACGCCGTCATACCAATATACGACAGCAAATAAATTGCGGTCGTATAAAAATGCTTATTTTTGGCCCCTAATTCCTTAACTGTGGGTACCATAACCCCCAAAATCAATCCCAACCTTCCTTTTGTGGTATTGAACCTTATGGTAAAATTTCATAGAGATCCATTCACTTAAACTAAAGTTATTGTGCGAAAACCAATGTGTCTTCGGACGACAACGATGATGACGACGCCAACGTCATACCAATATACGACCGCAAAAAACAAAAACCTTATAAACCTGTTAAAAAGGGTACTATTGCTAAGTGGATTAAACAAGTCATAATTTTGACTGCTACTTCCTATGTTAGTGGATGAATTCCAATATCTACTATTCTTCGCACAGCTGGGTGGAGGAAAGATAGCGTGTTTAGAAAATTTTACTAAAGACCAATTACAAATGACAGCTCCTTCAGTAAAGAAATCTTATTGGCCGAAGGAAAATAAGATAGATTTGTGTATATATCAGGGCCTAATCTAGGATTTTGAAGAGGGAGAAGTGACTTCTCCTTCCATGAGAGAGAAGGGAGAAGTGGTCAATTTCTTGGAGAAGTGAGATTCCATTACCGTTACAAATTTTGTGTATATATGGATGCATATAACTTTTTCTCAAAAATTTAGAATTATTAGTGTTTTCAAGTAGTGAAAGTATTTAGTGTTTATAAGTGTAACTGTTGCTACTTAACAAAGATTTTGACTGAAAGTGCAGAAACTGAACTCTAAAGACTCATGTGATTCTATAGGTAGATTGGACTTACTAAATGAACAAATTAAACAAACCTTACATAAGTTGTAGTTTGATGCTAATTTGGTAAGGTCCAATCTACCAGAATCACATGCCCACCCGAGCTGTGATTTGTGCCCTTGCTTGTTGAACATGGAAGTTTCCTGACTTTCTCCACTCTGAAGTCTGATTTGCATCATGTGATCATCTGTTCACTCATGTGATTTTGGTAGATTGGACCTTACCAAATTAACATCAAACAACAACTTAGGTAAGTTTTGTTTAATTTGTTAATTCTACCCCACTTTACGAAATCCAGCAATCATATAGTACAGCTGTTATTATTGACACTATTCCCTTAAACATTCAGTTTATACTTTTTTTTCAGGAACTTTGAACTGTTTTTACATACGTAAATGTTATGTTAGTAAGCAGGAAATGATGGTTCTACATTATTGATTACATTTGTGGATTCAAGGTCTCTTACATAATATTAAGTCAAAAATAATGACTGTACATACTGGAATTCTCTGTCAAATATAAGTTGAAAATGATTGATTATCAAATGTAACAGACATCTTGAAAATATTTATATTGAGGCATAAAAACAGATTATTGCCTACATCATGCCTGTAGGCCTGGCCTGTCTGGTAGGTTCACCCTTTCTAAGGGTCACTCCCAATGTGATTTATTTAGGTTAGTATTAAATATGATCATTATTTACAGTTGTACATTTAAACTTTTTAAAATATCAATACCTGTACAGTAACACCATAAACCAAGAAACTCCTACTTTTACTTGATAGACTGATATAGTTCATATAGATAAATTTAGCTCTTGTTCAGCAGGGTTGTCCATTTGTATGTAGACCATAGCATAATGTTCGTGTGATATTCTCAATGTCTCTGATATTTTGATGTTTGATGTTAACTATTTGCTTGATCTTTTCAGATGATGAGTCCATAATAAACTGCACCATGAGCCCTTCATCCACAATTTTATCAAATATCTCGTTACCTATGTTGTTGATCAAGTATGATTTTAGTGTTGTTAAATGTTTATCTCTTTCGGTTTTCAGTGCATTACATTCTAGCATAAAGTGTTCTGTATCTTCCGTAGCTGAATTGCACAATAGGCACATATCCTGCTCCACATTACTGCTAAACTTGGCACGGTCTATTTGAAGTGTATAAGTCCTAAGTATGAGCTTTGCTTTTATTTCTGCTTTTTTTACTTCTAAAGTATTATTTGAGGTGAATTTCCATATTTGGTGAGGATTTCCAATTGGCCTTGTTTTAATATTAATGTATTTCATTGTAGATTTTTCAGATTTTTCTATCTCCCATTTCTCTGCCCAAAATTGCTGAATGGCACGCTTGACAGTTTTCCATTTTCAATAGTTGGTTTGACTAATAACAGTTCCTGAGCTTTTGGTAGTTTGTATTTTGATAAAGCAGTTTCTAATCTACAAATGAGTGTATTACCATTTTGTTTTGACATTATAAGTTGCCTTTCTATAATTCTGTATTCTATGCTGGTGTTGTCTTGAATAATGCCTCCAAAAAAAGTGAGTAGCAGTCGGTCCACAGTTGACTGTATTGGTTCTATACCTAGTAAACTATAGTTGGCAGCACTAGCAACTTTTTTTGGTAGTCCTTGTATCTGTCTGGATATTTGTAGTTGGAGTCTCTCCAATTTTGTGATGTCAGATTTTGTGTAGTTTAGGACCTCAATGCCATACAGACTCCTTGGCAAGGCATAAGTTTGCCAGAGTTTTGCTGAGACCATTGGCGACATTCCCTTTCTGGCACTCAGTCCAGGACCAAGCATAGCATATATAGTATGTCGAGCAACTTTTAACCGGTCTTCTATATTTACTTTATTCTTTATAGTTCTTATTAAACCAAGATGTTTAACCTCTTTCTTTTCGTCAATTTTATTGTTTCCTAGATAAACATTTAGTTCTTGTTGAACTTTTGTTTACGGCACAATATCAGATTTTGTAGGATTGATTGACACAAAGTCTTTGTTTGTCATATCATGGACTATATCTAGTAGAGCCTGAACCTCATGCTCCTTGCTGGCCAGTATGGCAATGTCATCCGCACAAGTTGGGGCGACAACATTAATGTTGCCTATTCGTTCACCTATGTTTGACCTTTCTAATGCCTCCAAGATGTTGTTGTTATAGTGTTTATATAAAACAGTCGATAACTTTGCACCTTGTCTAACACCTATTTCTTGTGTAAATTTATCTGAAATGCTATTGTTCCACTTAACTTTAACTGTTACATTCCTGTACATATTTCTTAGCAATAACCACATATTTCCCACAATCATGACCAAAACAGATCAAAAGTTTTATGCCTATATAATAGATTTCAAGAGAAAGGTAAAAAAGAAAGGTAGGTACTTAGATTTTATTCACATTTGAAAATGTCCATTATTTTGATGTATTTAATTTATAAAAAAGATCAGCCTCAAACATAAAAAAACACACATGGATTTTTCTAGCATTCCACAGGGTCCGGTATTCGGACCCATTCCCAATGGCAAATACCCTACATTTTTCACAATTTTGGGAGCAAAATTCCCAAACGATCTCAAAATTTATTTTCATCTTTATTATTCCTGACAGCGATGTTCATTTTGTTCAACCGCTAGCTTTATGCCGAAAATCGCCAACAATTAATGTGTAAATCAGAGTAAAATCGTATCTGACTGACAAAAACAACATTGAAAAACAATGGATGCAATAAACCGGAAGTGAAGACAATTACAATACAGGGTCAGATTCCTGGGGCGGATAAGGGTAATTCCGGGTTTGCCGATCAAATACAATAAAAAAATAATAATTCCAGGCAGGTGACAAAATACATGATGATGACGATATATAAACACTAGAATTATAAACCAAAAGATATATGGAAAAAAAAAAGAAAAAGCAGGAAATATTTTACACAGAAACTCAAAATTACTTTTAGTTCACAAATTTTCATGTCAAAATCCAATAAAATGTGACAGTAATTTTCCTATTCATTAATAAATGTTGATATTACATGTAGTTATTTTTATAGTGTAAACATATATATCTACAATTCCAAGAGGTAATTTCTTCTCAATTTTGAAGGGCCAGTAAAATTCTGGAAGTTTCTTACTTTATTTTCACAATAAAAGATAACTTTTAATGAACTAAACACACTGAAACTCAATTCCCAAAACTGGCCAGGGTCCTTTTTCCTAAAATACCCAGAAAAACCCCTGACACAAAACATAAAGTGTATTTAAAGGATCAATGAGTTAACATGGATCTGATCTACATTTACAAAGTTTGGGACATTCAGTCTGACAGGAACTTTCTTAAACAATTTTTAAGTACCATCATAATTAGCATGGTGATACCACCAGTATATCAGTAATGACATTTGAACACATACTGTAATTTTCCTTCTAAGTACTTACACTGCAGCTACATATTTATCTTGAGATTCTATTAAACCAAGAGAAGGATCAAATCCTCCAATCTTTAAGGCTAAAACAATCGTTGCTATAAACAACCAACTAGTAGGAGTGGCAGGATAGGTTCCATTTTTAAACTGGTTCTACAAATATAAAAGCCATAAATAACAAATAAATTTTTACATCTTTCCAAGCATAGCATGTTTCTGGACACGTAGTACGGCATCATCATCCTGTATTTCCAAATTATACATTGGTTGTATCAAACAGCTTAGAAGAATCCAGGTGCTGCAGCTTAATGAAAAGCCTGAAACTGCAATTCAAATTAGGGTTTATTATAAACAAGTCATCTACATGCACACATACATCAGTATATATCTGAAATCAAAAATTTTTCAATTAAATAGCACTGAGCTTTCAGAACCTAAAATTTTAATATAAATAATCCTATAAACACACTGATAAAATTTCTTGTGTATTAGCCACTTGATTCATGTTGCCCAAAAGAATGAACCAAAAATTATATAATCAAAGCAGAGGTGTGCTGGAAAGGCAGTTTATATCTAAAAACATTTCCAAGGTACATTACTCCAGTAAAAATAGTTGATCTATGCTGATAATAAGGAGGAAATCCTTCAAGATCTTACTGATATTATCCTTTTATATAAATTTCATAAAAATCTGAGTAGAAATGTGGGCTTGAGATTGCTTACAATGCAATTTTCCATGTAAAAAAAAAATTTACATTTCTAAGGGACATAACTCCTGTAAAAATAAAACAAAATCAGAATTTGAGTTTTCTTATTATATGGATTTGCTGAAAATTGCATTTTATGGTAATTATTTTCAAAAGGGCATTCATTAGCTACTATTTAGACAAAATAATTAAATATGATTTTTTGTTTTTGTTTCAAACATTTATATAAACTGTTAACCAAGAGACATGTTTAGCCTTTTTGTTATAGTGATAGTAAAATGCAAATTTATATTGAAATTAAAATAGCAATCCTTTAACATGTAAGTTATGCAAAATATTCAAAGTCAATGAACCTTGACTGAAGGTACAGGGCCAAACAATCACCATGGAAATGAGATGTATCAATGCTAATACAACTGCGTTCCAAATATCATTGACCTATGAATAGTGGTTCCCCATAAACTGACCTAATCGCAAACTATAACATGTTAACTTACCAAAAGTTTCAAAGTAAATAGACCATGACTTGGGGGACAGGGCCAAATAATCTCCATAGAAATGAGATGTGCCAATACTAATACTTCTGCATACCAAATATCATTGACCTACCACTAGACTGACTAGTGGTTTGCCATAAACTGACCTAATCACAAACTAGTACATTGTTGATGCCGCCTCAGACAACAAAACAGCATACCTTTGTCCCGCTTTTTGACTCCGTCTAGGCCAGCCAATATAGTCAACCTCATTTGAACCTGTATTCATGTACCCATTAATTTTACTCTATGGGTTGCATATAAGCTTATCATGTTAAGTTATTAAAAATAAACTGCTTTGCCGAGTGCAGCTGGATACGACCGCAGAGGTCCAACCCTGAACAGTTGGGGCAAAAATGGACACAATATTCAAGCTTGATACAGGTCTGAATTTGGATTGTAATTAAATATTTGACACATTATAGGTTTCTGACACATAATAAATGAAGCCAAAGAACTTGAAATTGGTTATATGATTTGAATTTATATTCAATTAAAGATTTCTTGCTGTTGTGCAATACACTGTGCTATTGCGCAATACTTAGAAAATCTGTTTTCAGACTATATACAAACGAATCAGCAAAATAAATTGTGACCCCCAATTTTTCCTTTGAAAAATTGACAATTTCTTAAATCTTGAGGGAAAAAAAATTGCCATTTGACGGGGCCTTAATTAGCAAAATAAATTGTGACCCCCAATTTTTTTCTTTAGAAATTGACAATTTCTTAAATCTTGAGGGGAAAAAAAATGACCCTTCCAAAAAAAAAAATTTTTTTTTACCCCCAAAAAAATGTTTGTTTACCCCCTCCCCCCTCAAAAAAAAAATAATATTTGAAGAGAATTTTCTTTTGAGGAAAAAAAATTGAAGATTTCTTGCTGTTGGGCAATACTTAGTAAATCTGTTGTCAGACTATAAACAAATAAAGTTCAATTTCTTCTCAATGTCATATTTGAAATATATGAAAATCAATAGGGAGATTACATCAATAGCTATAAATAATTCACCAAGGTTTCATGAGAAGGGCTGAAAGCATTTTTGAGTTATTGTCCAAAAACTTGAAAATCCCCCCTTTTTTAATGAATAAATGATTTTGATTTGATTTTTGGTGTTTTAATGCAACTTTTAAGCACCGCTTTTGGGCTATTTCGTGGCCGCCAGTTTTTATTGGTGGAGGAAGCCGGGGTGCCAGGAGAAAACCACCGACCTTCAATAGGAAAACTGACAATCCTAGTCAATTAAGATTGTAGTCGAGTGCACCCACACGAGCGGGGTTCGAACTCACCACCTCAGTACAGTAGTAACTACTTAGACCACTCGGCCACCGAGGCCCCTTAATGAATAAAACCCCATAACTCAGAAATGTAAAATCTAAAATTTATAAAATTCTAAAGGGAGCTTACATCAACAGATATAAACAATTCACCAAAGTTTCATGAGAACTGCTGAAAGCATATTTTAGTTATTGTCCAAAAACTGGAAAATCCCCCTTTTTTTATGAATAAAACCCTGTAACTCGGAAACGTTCAATCTAAAGTTTATAAATATCCAAAAGGGATGGAGCTCATGTCAATAGATATAAACAATTCACCAAAATTTCTTGCAAGTTGGTGAAAGCGTTCATGAGTTATTGTTGGAAAACTGGAAAATCCCCCCTTTTTTAATGAATAAAACCCCAAAACTAGGAAACAGTAAATCTGAAATTTATAAAAAAACGAAAGGGAGCTCAGGTCAATAGATATAAACAATTCACCAAAATTTCATGCATATTGGTTACAGCTTTTTTGAGTTAATGTCCGACATGTTGACGACAGACGGACGGACAGACGATCAATGGTATACCATAATACGTCCCGTAAACGGGCATATAAAAACTATAATTGTGTTGCAACAACACAAATGGCCCCGCTAGCAAAAAAAAGCTTGAAGCAATTTTTAGGAGTGGAAATTTGAGAATCAAAGTCAGTTTAACTGTTATTTTCAACAATCAACAGAGCAGAACCAAACATAAACTCGATCTGTAATTCATTATATTAGACTCACATACTAAAAATTAGCTAGAATGTGCAGGCGTTAAGAAAAAAAGTCTGTATAACTGTTATTTTCACGAAATTATCAATCTCAATCTGTCACTCATTATAGTAGACTCACATACTGTAAATTCAGAAATTATTGCGAATAATGTGACAAGGTGAGTATGGCAATAATTAGAACTCGCATTCAGATATCTGATACCTACATAAGTATGCAGATTTTCCTGAAATCGTAATAAATAGTCTAGCATTTTTGTTCATTCTTCAAAAATCGCAATAATAAATGCACGCAATAATTTCTGAATTTACAGCACTAAAAATCAGCTCAATATGTGAAGGCGTTTAGACAAAAAGTCTGTATAACTGTTATTTTCAGGAAATTTTCAAAGTCCAAATCCTGTAATTTCGATTAAAAATTATATAACAAATATAGTTGACCTACTGCTTGTAGTATCTGATAATCTGACAAAACCATCCACTACTTAACATTGGCCAATGACCAAGGGTTTGGAAACAAGTCATATTTGCTAGTCATGTCCTAAACTGAAAGATATTTGTCCTAATCGGCAAATTGGGATTTAGGACAAATTTTTTATTTTTATTACAGAAATAATTTCGGTCATTTCATTGAGATAGGGTTTCTTTATCGCCAATTCACACTTGTTTTTTTTTGTAATTCCTTTCCTGTAATAAAACTGCCACTCCAGTATAGTATGATAATCCTGAGGGCCCTCCTAATAACCATATTAATGCCTCCGGGAAATATTGGCTAATTTCGGGGTAATCGCTAATCACTTTTTACTTTTTAATTAACACCTAACAGTGATTACAAGCTCAGAACTAATATTATAAAGAAATTAAAATTCCATGATAACTTTCTTCATAGTTTAATAACTTTTCAGCAAAGACAATCGACAATTCTGATTTCAAATTAAAACTTGAAAGAAAAGAAATTATTCACGAGCCAAAATGTGTGCATTATTTACTATGTAATACACATGCTTGAAATTGTCTTATCCTTTGATTGAGTTAAGCTATTTCAGTTGATATTTTATAGTGTGTCTTTCTATGTTGTGATGTTACACTATTGTTTCAGGAAAAAGGGTGAAGGTTTGGTACCATTAAAACGTTTAAACCCACTGCATTTGTTTGCACCTGTCCTAAGTCAGGAATCTGATGTTCAGTAGTTGTCGTTTGTTGATGTGGTTCATAAGTGTTTCTCGTTTCTCGTTTTTTATATAGATTAGACTGTTGGTTTTCCTGTTTGAATGGTTTTACACTAGTAAATTTTGGGGCCCTTTATAGCTTACTGTTCGGTGTGAGCCAAGGCTCCGTGTTGAAGACCGTACTTTGACCTATAATGGTTTAATTTTATAAATTTTGACTTGGATGGAGAGTTGTCTCATTGGCACTCATACCACATCTTCTTATATCTATAGACTCTTAATCGTAAAATGCAAAATGACATCATGCTACATTAAACCGAATGCAACTATTATCTGTTATATTCAAAAACATTAAAAATTCCCGTGATTTCCAAGGTGTCAATTTGATCAACTATAGGTGTCAGACCACCAATTCACTCCCTCCTATTTAGAACGTATGTAAAAGTAGCCCTATACATTGACAAAAATTAGTGCATTTGATGTTATTGTTTACTTAAACTAACCAACAAATTAGCAGAAATGGAACTTTTGGTGAAAGAGAAATATATTTAGACCATTTTGAGTCACAATTTACTTTTCTTTGAGTTTGCATTGAAAATTGAGGATTAGCTCCATAATAATACTAATTTAAGATTTCCAGAAAACCAGGGGTTATTTTTAGTAGTACTTGGCTTCCAAAAGGCAGTTCTTTCTTACAAGACTTTAAACATGGGTTGAAAATTGGCATGTAGTAAGGTGATACATGCACAATTCAGGATATACCTGGTTTCTATGAAGTGAAAATTAAGGTAAAATATTTAGAAAGCTGTGAAAATTGTAAAATTTGGTTGAATAGATAGGGATTTTGAATAAGTGGTCAGTGACACCAGAACGAATCCCGGAAATGAATCAGGAATTACTCGTACTTTAGTTATGTCGTGAAACTTCCAGTTTTAATTTACAGCAGCATGTGTGCTATGATATAAATAGAAAGTAGAATAATGTATTTTTAGTTTATTCTATTTTTAGAATCATAATATTACTACGCATATGGGGCACTATTTGCAGGTTACCTAATGTCCTACATCAGCAGACCTTTTATCCGCCTGCGTTTTAATTTTGTCTTCAAAAGCGTAATAGAAATAGAAATGTTTAAATGTCTGAGAAATTACCATTTGGAGTCATTAAAATCATTTCAATTTTAAACTGTTGCATTCCATTAACTGTTCTTGAACGTTTTTAGAAAAATGGTAAGAAGTTGAATAAAGAAAATTCATGAAGTAAATGCGATGAAACAGTCAACACAAGTTCGTTGATGCTATGAATCTAGTGTGAATAATTTTGGACAGTTTGAAAAAAGGTGCCCAACTTTTAAGTCAGGTAATAATGACCATCAGTAGTTTTCAGTGATCATCTCGATGGTTTATTGGATGGTGTCTAGTATCAAATATATTTATGTTTATATCTGGTACTTTGACCATCAGTAGTTTTCAGTGATCATCTCGATGGTTTATTGGATGGTGTCTAGTATCAAATATGCAATAAATGCTGATACATTATAACAAGTCCATGTCTTTCATTTGTTTCTTTTGGACTCCTTTTTATTTGGAAATACCTTTTAATGTTATAAATCAAATATGAGAATTTGAGCCAAATTGGTTAACATGAATCTGGCAGCTAATGCTCCTATAAAGCACCCCTTGAACCATATTAATTAAGCTCTCCTGTTGCTGTATAAAGTTGTAATACTCCACCAAAAAATCAAATCTTGTGTTAACTGTGTGTTATTTTGATGCGTGTATGCATGATATTAAACTTTAAACAGCAAATTCAAACTAATGCATATATGAGAATAAATTGTTATCAATAAAAAACAAATAGGGAAAATTTTTTGTGGTTTATGGCTGCTTAGTTTTTATCTTATCTACACACTGAGGAATTTCTTAACAAGCTATTTCAACAGATAACTGCTATCCAGTCAGCAGGGAAAGATGTCATCCCCAAATTGTGATTTTTAAAAAAGTAGTATGCTGCTCTTGCTTTTGAAACTGAGAGTTATGATATCCTGTATGTTGCATAGTAATATCAGTGTATTTTGTTATCATTTACTGCTTTTCCAGTTCACCATTGGCTGAGTAATATATGCTATGAC